ATTTTGTGCGGAAAATTCCATAGTTTTTAGAATATCCGCCGGGGGTCCCTCCAATGACGCTCTCAAGTAATGGAATTTCTGAATTTCGCTTAAGCTATCATTGTTATGAATAAGGGACTCGTATGTGTCTCGATATTCGAGCCACTGTAAATTTTTGCCATCAAAAGTAGGTAGAGAAATTTTTGGTAGTTTTACCAAATTTGTCAAATGATTTTCACTTTTGATGCTACCTTGACCACTGCCAGAACCCCTTACAGAGTCAGGTGTAGATGCATTGTTATTCAAAATTTGGGTTGCTATGCTCAATTGTTTATAATACTCCTGCTCAAAGGTTTCCCTTTGAAGGTATTCTATTTCTAGCAATGCATCTACATCATCACCCGTAACACTGCATTCTATTTGCATTTGAATGTCATTAAATTCATGAATTAAGTTTTCAAATCTTTCTTTTCGTTCTTGCAATTGAATAAAATTTAAATCAGAAATTTCATCTGGTGCTTTATTCTCGAAATTGTTGATGATAAAATTTGAAAAAATTGTTAATTTGCTTTTAATTGCTCCACGCTTACGTCTATTTTCTTCGGGAGCCATGATCGCTCACTAGAAAATGTATGCATCTACTGACAGAAATGGTAATTTTTGAATGCGCTATATACACTTCCGTGCAAGCAGAATACAGTAAACAATTGAAACACCAAGGAATAATAGAATAAAAAATAGGATACTCACTCTCTGTTGGACTTTGCTTTTTATCGCTTTTATTTTACTCTCCTGTGAAAGTACCTTACTTTCCAATGAAATACTATCCAGTTTGCCTCTTTTTAGTCTTTTTCGCAACTTCGATAGGTAATTTTCTGCTTTTCTTACTGATTTCCACTATTTTCTTGCTGAAATCTGGCTCGAAGGACCATTTTATGTTTGTAATTTTCTTATGTTAAGTAACTTCAAACTATTTTGACCAGTAAAGAGATTTTTTATTAACTTTTTAATAAACAAATCAAAAACTTAAAACAAATATAAACTCTTAATAAAAAAAATAGTTTTCTTTGTGCAAGTTTCACAATATAGATAAAGAAATGAAACGAGGTCTATATTGTCTCTACTGCAAAATAGTACTGTCTTGGACGTCTCTTGCACACATTCCGTGAAACAGAAAATCTCGATCGATAACACAAAGGTCGTTGACCCTTCGTAAGAAAGCACCCCAAGATTTACCCGCGTACAGCTCAAAAATAAAGAAAAAATATAGTGCGGGCGCAAACAACCACTTTGTGCCTGATTGTTTTGGTTCTAGTTTACCTTATTTTGTGGACGGTTTTGACTGTTTGGCTTGTACTTGGACGCTGACTGAACTTTGGTTGCTTTTTTTCTGACATGTTTTGTGACTTGATGGACACTACTTTGTGGAAAAAGACTAATTTTGATTGTATAGTTGACATTTCATAATTTAATGCCTCTTTACAAGCTTCTGCAAATTTTAATGAATTGTCCTTCGTCAATAATCTCTGTACAACTGACTCACATCGAATACCACAAACAAAACGATCTCTTAGAGCCTGGAAACTCCCATATTCACACGAAGCTGAGAAGGTTTTCAATTGAACAATATAATCAGTCAACAACTCATCTGGTTTCTGATTCCTGTTATTGAACTTGTACCTGTCAGTGATTACTGATACTTGTGGTGTGAAATGTTTTTCTATAATATCCAACATATCCATAAAGGATTTTGACGTAGGGCTTTCAGGCCGCATTAGGCTTTTTATTAACTTGTAAACGTCTGGACCGATCAAAGTTATAAATAGAGGGCCTTTGTCCTCGTCTTTTGTATTATTTACCTTGAATAATTGCTCCATTCGCTCCCTATAAGACTCGAAATCGCTTTCAGTCACATTAAAATGTTCTATGGAACCCACGCTGCCTCGTCGCTGAACTATTGCTTTTTTTAAGTTCACAACATTGAAAGACTGGACTTGATTCTTGAAGATCTAATTTATTCAAAAGAAGCTTACAACATTAAACTCAATCAATTACCCTAGAGGATCTTTGATAGAGACTGCTATTATTTGTCTACATAATTATTTTAGCCCACCACTCAACATGTCACCCATCGGATGACGCTATGGCCAGTCCTATATAAATGCTCTTACGGCTGTGCCACGTATGAGACTAAAATTTTTAAAAAATTAGGGCACTCATGGAGCCCAGAATATTTTGGGAGGTAATATTATCTGATCTAATCATATTTTTTTTTCATGTAAAGTCTATTTGATAGGGAAAGGTGATAAATTTACCTGTACCTGTAGACATGGGATTGTGAATAGATTATCACTTAGCTTTCACAAATCCAATCTGAATGTAGCATATTATATGAAATAATGTCTTCTTTTATAGGTACAGAAGAGGTTGCACTGATAAAACAAGTTGTGACAGTATTAAAAAGGATTTACTTAATGCTTGGGATGACCAGGTTCCAGAATTTTATTGTGAGTTGTGTAATTAGGACCATTGCAACAATAGAAATAATCATCCAGGACATGTGCTCACCTTTTAGGATGACTAGGCAAAATAATACTTAATCATTCAAAAATCACATGATTTTATTCGAAAACCACTAGTGTATTTTTTTCTTTGAACCTACATACATACATTTAATGAAGTGACTCTGTTTATAAGGTTGCCGATGAGCTCTTAAAATCAGAGCGAATGTGGGCCGGAGACAGGCTAATTCACTAGTATAAACATATTTTCTCTAGAATAAGAAATAGAGCCTTTGTTAGATTAGAATTAGTTTTAATGTTGTGTGAACCAACTAGGTATTATAACCAACAACCAGGTGTGATATTACCTATGATTGACAATGGTGTTGTTTGTGTTGTTATGGCTAGTTTCTATAGTTAGATAAATAGTTAGATTTGTTAATGTTAAATGTTAGTATAGTCCACGTATTGTTCGTCGATTTTAATCTGATACTCAGACGGAATGTGAGCTGGTGGCTCCCTACATTAGAACGCCAATGGTTTCCTGACGTTACACCTGTTTTTGCCATATGAAACACCCCCTCGCTCCTCATACCGCAAGTATCAGTTAAAAATCGACGGACAATATAGTCTCTGCATGTGTATTCAACAAATATATTCAATCTAATTGAATTCGTATCATTTATTGATAAACTAACATTGAAACAGCCTCAATTTATCAACAATGTTTTAATTCTATAAGATTGCGCATGACTTATCATCTTAGTTTATGTGCCCAAATAGCATTTGGACGTTGGCCTCACGTCGCCTCACACAACCCGACGTTGGTTATTGACGTCGGATTAACCATTTGCCAACCATTTTTTGCACTTATTTGAATCATTCAAATTTGAGTCGTGCCGACGGTGGTCACCAACCTTCGAATTGCTGGATCGTTAACCAAATTCAACATTTAGATCACCAATTTTCTACGTCCTAATTCTGATACGACTTCTTTTGGAATTATGTGAGATAAAAGGCAATAGCGAAGTGAGTGTAGTATAAAATAATGATGACGTGCGAATTCTTGTAGTGAGTGGAGGTAATTAAATAAAACTGGCTGAGCCCTTGTTAAGACCAAATATAGCCAACGCACGACACATTACTGATACACATGACCATGGTAGGTCGAAAAATATTCATGCCTCACGTATATTGTCGAAATTCATGAAATTTAATTTTTAAAAAATATAAAATAAAAAATAAAAAAATTATATACCTAGTTTAAGAAATTTGATTCTAAATCATACTTAAAACGTTATAAGGACAAAATTTTCTCGAGAATTTCATACATCTGTCAAAACTGGTATTCCAACAATAAATTGGCATGTTTTGATTGTTGATTTGAACCAATCAGATTGTAATAACGCGATAATTTGCACTAGTGCAAATTATCAGATAATTGCATACTAACTGGTGCGAAAACTGGTGTTTTGACATTTTTTGACAAAAAATTTAAATTTTTGATTTATGAAATTCTCTTATTAAATACAACTCGTGCAATGGAAATATTGTTATAATTTTCGACAAATTTGCACTCATGCGTTTTTAACTGAAAAAGGCACTCGTGCACTACGTGCACTCGTGCTCTTTTTCAACTAAAAATGCATTCGGGCAAATTTCCCAAAAATTATCAATAATTTCCATTGCACTAGTTATATTACTATTGAAAATTTCCCGTTTACTGTCAATTTTATACATTGGAAAATAAAAATCAAATTTTCGTAATGGCTGACAAGATGCTTCATGGACGTAGGATTAAAATATGGCGGAGTTGGTAGTTGGACTAATATTTACTTAATTTAACCAAAGGAAATGTAATCGTCACCTAAAATTACGAAGCACATCCTTAAAGTCGGAGATATCACCAATTTGGACTACACTGATACCTCAGTTTTAGTTCCTTGAAAATTATTAAAGACGACGACAACATAACCTAAGATGCGTTTATTTATTTATTTTGATTTGAATTTACTATTGGAAACAGTTGATATTTTATTCTATTTTATTTTTGGTGCTGATGTGTGCGTGTTAATTTATGGATCATCACATACTGCTGCAGAAAGCAAACGATATGTTCGGTTTCTCTATTGGGCTTGTGGTTCGGTTGGTACTCAACTTTACGACGAGTCTCTCAACATCATTGTCCATTTTTTTTAATGATTTATTATTATCATTATTCCAGCCGATCATTTTTGGGTCTATTTCCATGATTGTAATGATGATAATTTCCATACAAATTTCAATACCTATGTTAACTTACTTATCGTTTATTTTTTTCTTCTCTTTTAATTATGTTCAATGTTTAGGTAAATATTTACTGATAATGTACATAATTATAATACAAAAATATATGTATAATATTTGTGTCTGATAATGTGTATTTAAAAAATTATAACAATATTTTAATGAGTATAGCGAAATTGGTCTAAAAAAATAGTATAAAAGGCGAAGCAATATTTTAATCTATAAATAATTCCCTTTTCATCATGCTTATGAGAATTTTGTTTTGCGTCGTTTCATTGGTCGCTGTAACTGGTAAGAGAAATAATGTTACTATGTTTATATTAGGTTTTTTATTATTCTACCTTCAAGAATATATAAGTATACTATGTGACGAAAAAAAAACTACATAGTGTAGACCCCTTAGGACAAGACATTGATGTGCGAGTTGATGTGATTTTTTTCCACTTTTGTGTATTATTATTTGTTCTCAAGTATTTTTAACATAATTTTCTCGATTTGCGAAGTAGTCTCCAGGTGTAGCGGAATTTTACTACATAAACTATCTATTTTTTTCTTTTGATTACACATTCAGATGATGGGAGACTTTTCGTCATGGCGCCATCTAAGATTTGGATAAGGCACTAATGGTGCAATTCTGTCTGCGATGTAACGTACTGTAAGGAATGCAACTTTGAGAGCTGTAAGGATGTAAAGAAAAAGGAATTCTGTAACTTACATCGCGCTGTAAAATAGTCTTACACCTACTGTAAATTAACGTCGCGGGTAATGCAGACATACTGCATGTTACATTTTTGACGGTATGAAACACTTGGCATCAGTACACAGTGCATTGCACCATGCCTCTGGCTGGTCAGCCCAGAGACTCCGTGTCTGTGCTCCGTGTCATGCAGAATTCTACATATTATCGACAGGATTCTATAGGCTCAGCACATTCAATATATCGAATTCTACATGGCATGGAGTCCCTGCCCAGGCCTCCACGCAAACGCTAACAGCGAACAGCCAAGAATTGGGGAATCATCGAGGAATCCCTGATATTTCCTGCAAAAATGACGCTCATCCAACTGAAAATTCGCTATTTAAAAAAAAAAAACCAAAAAACCCAATAATAGTTGGTTTTATCAAACAAAAAAATTGAAAAATCCCACTGGGTTTTATAAACTTGGAAAATTCTATGCCAACCCTGTGGATCAATCGGTTCAGCGTTACCGTACAGGCCTTTTGTATTTGATACATACCAGGAGGACTATAGACGGTAAAGATAATGGGTGGTATGAATAAAAACGAAGTACTTGCTACTATTACAAGTATTAGTATGTTCTACGTAATATTTACTTCAAAACAAAGTAGATACTATATTTCGAACCGGAAATTAGTAAATGCTTCTTTTTGAAGTAAATACTGCGAAGAATATACTAATATCTGTAGTAGTAGCATGTACTTCGTTTTTTTTTCATACCACCTAATATCACACCTTTATTCCAAAATATTTCAACTTCAAAAATTGTCAAATTACAAAAAATATTAAGTTACGTTTATTACTATAAAGTTAGGAGCGCTATAAATAAAGCACTGTAACTGTGTACTTTACACCAGGTGTTACAGAATACGAGCTTTGGCGTTCAATGTAAGTTTCAATTATACATCGCGATATAAACTTACCCTCTTTAAGATTTACAGAATAGGCACATAAACCACATTTTGCTGTATTATCACTGAACGTCAATAGGCCGACCAAAAATCAGTTCGTTGGGTACTACATCTCTGGGTACTACCAACTAGGAAAAACAAGTTTCTCGATTTTGATGTGAGAATGTCATTATTCCCGCACGCAAAATCGTTGAAGAATGAAGCTCATTCTTCAACGATTTTTAGGTTTTCAAAGTATACCTATTGGTACCTTCAAAATTGTCAAACCTTCTAAAATGATGGAATCCACCTGTCAATTGGTTGGTAAGTAAGTGTCACCAACTGACTTATTTTGAAAATAGAAAGTCCCCAACCAACAGCGACCACAAAAAAAATTAAAAAACTTGAAAATAAAATCCAAAATCGAGAAAATAGTATAAAATTCACGTTGCAGAAGGCTATTCCCATATTCATCCGTTAGTCCAAATTTCGAATTCGCACGGGAATATGTGGCCGTCTGCAACTTGTATTTTATTATACTATTTCCAGTATTTCCCTATTCAGGGTGTCCGTTTTTCGAGGGCAACCATTGGAATAATAAACGTCAATTTATAAATTCGCCATTATTATATCAGATACCTATTTGAAAACGACAGCAATATTTTTCATGCATGCCTAAAGTGACCATACGTCCCGTTTTCAACGGGACCGTCCCTTATTTCGGCTCTCCGTCCCGGTGTCCCCGAGAAACACTGGGGGACGCAAAATTGTCCCGTTTTCCCAAATCCCATAGAAAAAATAATAATAACGGCGTAAAAAAACATAATAGAGAGATATCGGTAAAACAGATAGCGCGTATGGACGGTAATAACGTCAGGAGTTATTTTTTTAAAGTAAAGCGGTATCATACTTTCAAATTACAGTTATCGGAAAACAGTTTAACGTAAAATTTGCCTGTTCGCATTCGTTATTTTATAACCGTAGCCTAACTTGTACCTTTGTTGTGATTTGATTTGTGTTGTCTGTTGTTCATAGTCAGGGACAGAGGATTTGCTTTTTCACTATTTTTTGAACAATCCATATTCACTTGAACACATCAGAAATAATAAAATAAACAATAAACATAACATAACCTATTATTCCACGGCGTTATTTTTAGACGTTATTCGAAATAGCGCTTAACGTAAATGCTGGGTAAATTACGTTATGCGGTAACGTTATTTTAGTACGTAGTGTTAAAAATCGAATCGCGCATAGGTTTAATGTCAAAATAACGTAGGCGCTAATACTGCATGAACCTATTTGGGTTACCGATATCTCTCTAATATAAGTGTCATGTCATATTATAAATGTTGCCTATGTTCCGATATCAACTGTCAGTATCAGTACTGAATTTACTGGATGCTGTTCCGATATTATTTTCAGTGCACTGGATTCAGTCGATTCAGTACTGAATCACCACAAGAATACGCTGTTGAAATCGGAACGGAAAATGACAGTAAAATCAGCACAGAATCCAGTACCTACTGGCAGTTGATATCGGAACATCGCCGTTATATGCTTAACAGGTTCGCGGACAATTTCTAAAAGTATGTTGTGCTTAGAATGTCAATTTTTGTATTTCCATAATGTTTGGTGTGGTAAATTGGTTTTTTCGCCGTGAACTGGACAATTTTGAGGTGCATAGACACTGTGGCAGGACTAATAAATTGAAAATACATATAGCTATATGGGATCAAAGACGGCTAGAGCCGTTATTTGCTTATAGAAGCAAATTGGGGTGACTGGTATAGACGTCATGTCCTAGGCAAGGGAGAAGAATATACGTGTTAAATTTCACTCCAGTGTGTCTGTGTCTATTCTCGAAACCGGCGATTACTGAACAGCGTTCTCACGAGAACGATTGCGCTGTCTTTGTCAGTGTTATGGAAATATAAATATGGGCGACTAAGACAGAACCTTCATTTTGATGAAAACGCTGTTTCCCGGCTTCGAGAATAGACACAAAGAATCAGGACTAGAGTGTTCGGTCAATGACTCACCTGGTTCTCGAACGCAAGAGTAGAAAGGGTCTTTTCTTTGATGAACAAACTGAGGATGACAGAAAAAACCCAGTTACAGGTCTTGGTTCTTAAGGCAATGTTGATAACCAAGGTTAAGATTAAAAAAACGTGCCAAAAATTTTAGCTCTGTTCCAACCGACGTGATGTTGGAGGCTGGTTCCAGAACCAGCAATTCCCAGTTGCACACCTATTTTTCAGTAAGTCGAACGTTTATCCTACTTGACAAATAAATTGATCGACTGGAAATTATCGTTCTAGGACGGTTCTTACGTCGGTTGGAATAGAGCTGATTCTTACATGGTTACCTGGGCTGGAACTCTGTAACGGATAGCGGTCAATATCTCTACCTCTAGTGGTGTTAGAGAAGAAGATAGAAAATGTGATAGCGATAGGAATAACGATCTCTATCCGTTACAGAGTTCTAGCTCTAGGTCCTTATTCTTAAAACAGGGGAGCAACGTTCCCAGGAGAACAAGTGTTCCATCTTTCTAAGGGCCAAATGATGATTTCAGGTTTCTCATTCTAGAAACACGTATTGAATCAGATTTGTTCCTCTAGCAAATATAAAAACAACTGAGCAATTATGTTTCATAACAATACTTATTTAAATTTGTATGTAGGTAGTACTATTTCATTAAATTAAAAAAAATAAATTAAGAATGTGTTTTTTTCTATTGTGATACTAAGCGTTTGTCCCGTTTTGAGTCTACAAATAAATGGTCACGTTATGCATGCTATATGTAAAATGTGTTTTTTTTTTTAAAGATAATTCCCCAAGTCAAAAATTTAGTAACTATGTTGGCAACACGAGCCTTTTCTACACAAAAAATTTAAAAGCATTGACAATTTTACATTGTATTGCCAACATAATGTCATTTTGACTTTTATCTTTAAAAAAAAACAGACTTTACCTACATGGTTGTCGTTATGTATGGAAACGGCCCAATATTTCAGACCGCACTAAGGAAAAATGTACAATGTTGCCAAGTTCACCGTTTCCAATATGCCGTATGTAACTTACTTTTTTTTTAAATTTGTAATTAATTCAGCGTCCCAACATTACTAAAATCCCTGAATGCCAAACCTCCATTTGACTTGTTTTTTGAAATATGACAATACAGTTTTTTTTTTGTTGAAATGTATGGAAACAGTCTCGTACTTCAAAACAGGCTTTAGAAAAATGTACATACCATGGGCCTACTAGCCCCCCTATAAATATTGAATACCTACGCCACAAACTACGCATTATCCTTGACATTTATCACATTTTCTAAAGCCTGTTCTGAAATACCATACATTTCAACAAAAAACTGTGTTGCCATATTTGAAAAACGAAGTTAAATGGAGGGGTATATCTGAAGTTGGGGCTCGGTTTCATTTGGACAGGAGGCTTTAATTTTTTTGAGGTTATGTAGGATTTTCGTCGTTGGGGCGGTCAGCCTGTCAGTACATCTTGGGGGCCATCGATTGAATATAGCCCAGCCTTATTGGTGTTTCTCTTTGGTAGTGAAAATAAAACAACCCCTTCAAAATACTATTTTAACTGCTTGACCAAATTTAGCTATACCGTTGCACACGTTCCCCCATGTTGATTCAGCGAAAGAGAGAGAGGGAGAGAGAGACCACAACCTGCATTGCACAACCGTCATTGACAAAAAGGTCAACTATCAACCGAACTTGGCGATTTCATATGGGCCAACTAACCGGCCCGGATATCAAATTTGGTTACTGAGCTTTTTCGTCAACAGAGGTTTGGCATTTAGGGATTTTAGTTTTTAGTAATGTTGGGACGCTGAATTAATTACAATAAGAATAAAGAAGGACTTTCGTTTACACCAAGTGAGTTAAACGAATGTTTATTCATGAGAAGAAAGTTTAACCCACGAGCCCTAGCGAGTGGGTTAATTTTCTTCGAATGAATAAACATTTTAACTCACGTGATATATACAAAATTTTATCCCATTTTGATGGACATTTGAAAAATAAGGTACTTAATAGGAATCAAATTATAAAAAGAATTCACTTAGCGAGCGCATATCTAAACTTGCAACTGGTAGTTGCTATGGCATAACTAGTTGTTTGTTTGTATTTGTAGCAGATTTGTATTCTGGCAGAGTGACTTAAAGACCGAGAGTGAGTTAAAAATATTTTAAGTCACTCAGGTGATAAACGTCTACTTACCTCTGTTATTATGCGTTCAATAATGTTATTTTTAAACGTCAAAATGGGATAAAAAAAATTAGGTTACATACAGCATTAAAAAAAAACGGTAAGCTTGGCAACATTGCAAATACCACCATTGAATCGAGCATTCCCAAAAACCCTACCATGAGTGGATATTATGAAACACGCGCGATTTTTCGAGTACGACTGCGCAGCAAATGGGGTACCTACCAATAATTTAAAAAAAAAAAATCCATTATACTCACCTTTTTGTTTTTAATCTTTCTGTTGCGAAATAGTATATTACAATCCGAGACGGAAAATACTTCATTGCTGGTCGAGAGGTTATTATAGTTTATCGAGACGCGAAGCGTCGAGATAAACTCAACCTCGAGACAGAAATGAAGTTTTCCGTCGAGGTTTGTATACTTTTTTATTTTCAACCCTTAATTTTCTGATGCAAAAACTAAAGATTCTGTTATACGAAATTTTCATATAGTGTAAAACTGGCCTTAGAAAAAAATATTTCACTTTTTTTGTCAATGTCATCAATTTTGACGATCTCAAAGGCCCTGTAAAGGCCAAAACAAAAGACGAAACCACAGGAAACCGCAAAATCAACAACCATAGATAAGATCAACAACGCCTTAACGACGGTAGTTTTCGCTCAGTATTTTTGCGGAAATAATAGATTTTCACTAGATTTCTCCCCGTTCTCCCCAAAGAAATGATTTCGGAAAGTGAAGATGAAGCGATGGATTGTACCCCACCTGAATTAAAAGAAGCAGCAGACAGGATTGGAGAGAGTTTGCTTCCAGCAAAAAGCAAATTTCGGTACGAAAAGGCTTTTCAAATATTCGAAGCATGGTGTAGCCAGAAAGGAACGAGAAATACTGCCTCGGAGACCGTTTTGTTGGCGTATTTTGGCGAATTATCTAAGGAAAAGAAGCCTTCGACTTTATGGTCGACTTACAGTATGTTGAAAACCATGATTAAATTGAAAGAGAAAGTTGATATCTCCAATTACGCAAAACTTATAGCTTTTTTGAAGCGGCAAAATCTGGGCTTTCAGCCGAAAAAGTCGAGCGTTTTTTCCAGAGAAAACATTAACGAGTTCCTCACGAAGGCAGCTGAAGAATTCATTAGCATCAAGGTAGGTTTTCAAAAAATATACAAAGAAGATAAAAATGCGAAAATCAAAATGATTTTCTGTATGCTATAGCTAGGTTACCCATTTTATTTTTATCTGGTTTCAGGTAGCGCTAATTGTTGGTGTGTCGGGTGCATGTAGGAGCGATGAACTAGTCAAGATGAAAATGGAGCACGTCAACGTTTTGGAAGGAAAGATCGCTATAGAAATTCCACACACAAAAACTTACACAAGTCGATCGTTTATCATAAGCGATCCAGATTGGGTTGCTATTTTCCACAAATACCTCACTTTGCGGAAAAATTTGAAAAATGACAGGTTATTTGTTCAATGGCGAAATGGGAAATTACATAACCAAGCAATTGGCTATCATTCAATCTCAAAATTTCCACATAAAATAGCTGCTTTTTTGAAGCTTCCAAAAATTGAAACTTTTACAGGGCATGCTTTTCGTCGTACTTCCGCAACCTTATTGGTTGACAACGGGGCCGATCTATTGCAACTCAAAAGACTGGGAGGGTGGAAATCGAGCACGGTTGCTGAAGGCTACATAGAGGCATCTTTGGAGAACAAAAGTAAGACTGCTCTGATGCTATCCTCTACTTCCAAAGGTATTCAGTTGTCCAGTGCATCCACAAGTACATCACATGCGGAAACTCATCCGCAAGCGCAAGAGATAATAGTTCCAAACGAAACACAATTCCAACAGGATGGTCTCAAGATTTCCATTATAAACAACAATGCTAATTTAACAATTAATGTAAATAAGTGAATAGATTTAATTAGTTCCATGTAATACATGTGGTTTTATTATTATATGTGAGAGCTGTATGAAAATTATCAATTTGGAACGAGCAGGGAAATGGGGACGGAAAAGCATTTGCCGTCCCGGACGGAAAATGCTTTTCCGTCCTAGGCAGGCATATGCATTACCGTCCCGATAAATGTCAAAGTCCAGAAATGTGACACTTTCAAGATTTTGAAAAACCTGCAATGTCAACATTACATATGTGGTTGAAAATAATAATTATTTGTTTTTTAGAGGCCACAAAATGTTACTTATGCGATGACGATAGTAGGTATGGCAACTGCAAAGGTATAGGTTGGCGAATCTTGAATAAATGCCCTTCTGGCTGTGTCACGTATGAGGCTAAAATTCAAAACAAATATAAGAACTCATTGGCCGAAGAATATTTTGGAAGGTAATATTTTCTAATTCTCTTTTCTATCCAATCATATTTTTTCATAGATTATCATGTAGCTTACATAAATCCAAATGTATAATATGAAAGAATGTGTATTTTTATAGGTACAGAAGAGGTTGCAATAATCAAAAAGGATGTGACAAAATTAAAAAAGATTTATATGATGCTTGGGATGACAGGGTTGAAGTATTCCATTGTGAGGAGTGTAATGAGGACTATTGCAATAATAGAGCTAATCATCCAGGAATTACTCTCAGCGGTCCTTGGCTGCCTGATTATGAATAATACTTTTTAATTCAAATTTGAAATTATTTTGTTCGAAAACCAGGAATGTTCCAAACTGCATAATAGGCTCCTTGCATCAAATTTTTTTATTGCTGATTTCGATAGTCCATGAAAAATAAATCAACACGTATTTTTTCTTTTTCTTCTTAGTCAAAAATTGACGGAGATACAACACTATGAAATCTGCCTATGACGTCACTTATCTAATAAATTAGTGACGTTGCACATGCTCAGTATATCTATATATACAAAACTTAATATTTGAATAACTTCCGGAATAATCATATTTGGGCGAAATAAAAAAAAAATAACGATTTTTTTTTTCGATTTCCCACAGTTTGTATAAACAATAATCAATTTTATTTTCCATGCAAGTACCCTATTGTGCATATTGATGCACACTTTTAATTTATATATGCACAGTATGCACCCCAATCTCTAGATATGCACAATTTGATTTCTAGAATAAATACGTCACAATTTTCCAGTCAATAAATGCAACACAAAATATTCTGAATTTGAGGTTTCATTCCAGTAAATTTGTACTGAGTGTAAGTACACTGTACTTTATACATACTCCAATACTCTTCACTCTACACTCAGTACACTCTACTGTACGCCAATAAGGATTATACACACTACACACTACTACCCTACTACACTACTACAGAATGGCCTCTATCCTGCTCATAAGGCATTGCCATAGGTTCGTTTTATATTATTTTGGTTAAAAATCTTCCTGCGTTCCACGTTCTCACTGAATGTGATACTACCAGTCAGTTTGTGAAACTTGGAAAAACCGCCGGTTGGAATATATTTTTTTTTTTCTACGACTATTCTAGAAAGCTATTCTAAACGCACTACTAACTTACCTAGAAATTCAATTACTCCGCACAGCGTCCGAAAAGTACTTTTCACACTATCTATCCGTGCGAAAAGTACTTTTCGCACGCTAAAATGAAAATGACACTTCCACTGAATTTTTGTTGTGCAAGCAACTCTGAGTGTATTCTGCGTACGTACCGAAATTGATCGCTTATCATAACCTTAAATAATAATTCTTTGACAAAGCAAAAAATTAGTTATTTCGCACTCGTAGCAAAAGTATAGTGTGTAACGCATGTGAAAAGCGCCAATGTACGGATAGAGATGGATGCACTTAAAGTGTATTCAAAATGGTCTTGTTGTTTCTCAAGACATGGTTCGAAAATTACTTAAAGTAGTAGATCCTGAAGGTGTAAATTCGTGAAAGAAACGAAGATTAAGAGGGCGGCAGTATACCAGCAGAGGGCCTAATTATTAGTGGCACATGGATTTCTATGATAAGTTAAAAAAAATCGGAATATGTATAAATGGCTATATAGATGGTTTTTCGCGACATATAATATGGCTTGGAGCGAGTTCAACTTCCAGCGATCCGAAAGGAAAGTTTTTGCAAATTATTATTTGAATGCAATTGGAATCTTAGGGGGTTGTTCTGTTTCTACACGCCAGTGACGGATTTACGATTTATGGGCTACGTTACATAATTTTTGGGGCTCCTACCCCCTACCCCCTACTTAGTAAAACAAATATTTTCATTTTAGAATTTATTGATAAATTAAAACAAAATTGAAACGAAGTTCTAAAAGTACAACCGAAAAAATTCATAACAGTAAAAGAAATAAAAACTAAGGTAGTAGGGATTTAAGTGACATCGAGAACTATCGTGGTATTTCCATCTTATCTGCTATTCCTAAACTCCTCGAATCTATTCTAACTGACGAGATATTCACGACTTACAACAGATACTTTAACTCTGTCCAGCATAACTTATAACGAGGACGTTATATCACAACCAACCTTGCAGTCTACCAGAACTTTTTGGCCACCTCAGTTGTACAGGAACATCAAGTTGATTCTATTTATACCGACTTATCTAAGGCCTTTGACAGCGTTTACCATCAGCTCCTCCCCAAGTAAATGTCAGAAATTGGGATAATTGGAAACTATCTCAGCTGAATTCAATCTTACTTTGGTGATCGTCGGCAGCGAGTTGATGTCGCTGGTACAATATTTAGTGAAGTACTGGTTAGGTACCTCTGTTGTTCCTCAAGGATCTCACCTGGTACCTATCCTGTTTCTCTCTTCATCAACGAAGTAACATCCTGTCCTGTCTTGTCTTGTACGTTGATGATCTGAAATTTTATAATAAGGTATCTGTGGACCATAACCGATTGCAGGATGACCTTGGGCTGCCATAAGAAATTAAAGTCACATTGGACTTTTTAAATTTTTTTCTAAAATTTGAAGAGCTCACCTCCGCTCCAGTATCAAGCTTAAACTTAATCAATTACCCTTCAACTTTTATCTGCTTGCACCACATAATTTCACTGTTAGATTGAATACCATCAACCCTTTTCACTAGGGAGCTTACATAAAAATCGTCGCTTTCACTGCTCTCACTTTCATCTTCAGAATTGTCCTCCGCTTTCACGACACTTACCCTTTTTCCTTTTTTGTTATCGTAGCTTCCATGAGCCTCTTTTCTACGCTCCTTTTTCCGACACACTCTAGCAAGATGATTTTTAGCAGGGCATTTTCCTTTATGACGATTATAGCCACAATAATCACGCTTTTTCCTTTCCAGACTATTGGGCACTTTATTCCTCTCCAACTTTTTTTGAGTTTTGACAGCGCTCACTAAAACTTCGCTTGCAGAGCCTTTGCTTGAAATTTGCTTGCCTCAGTGGCCAAACAAAAATTTATAGCTTTCTGCAAAGTAAGGTCCTTCTCACGAAGAAGCCTTTAGATTTATCAAAAATTCCTACTACTATATGCGGTCCCTTACCATTTTTAGTGGTTCAGAATACTCCGTAGTTTTTACTGCAATTTTCAGGTCTGTCACAAAACTATCAAAACTTTAGCCATCTTGTTGTACCATAGAATTGAAAACAAATCTCTCATAAATAACATTCTTCTGGGGGGCACAGTGCTCCATAAACTTCTTCTCAATTTCCTTTAGGGACTTCTTTTTCTCGTCTGTCAAAGTAAACGAGTTGTATATATCTAATCCTTCCTCGCCAATGAGGCTCAAAAATACAGCAATTTGCTCTTTAACGTCTTCAGTATCCAAATCCGTAGCAGTCATGAACAAATCGAATCGCTGAATTTTTTTCAGTTATCCGCTAAATTACCTTGAATGCTTAAGGGTTCTGGCGGTTTAAACATCGAATCCATGGTTCTCCGGGGCTCAAAACTTCTTTTCCAGGGCTCAATCTAGTCTACCTGACACCACGTATCAATAGGACTATATTGTATCAATCTTTATTCTATTAATACAATTTTTTAGTCACTTAACAATCTTGATAATACTTCGTTATAACTATGACTACATGCCTATCTATACTTACGCAACATTCGCACTTCGGCCTAACTTTAATTATATTATACATTTTGTAGAGGCTCTCTAGCACTAAAATTGGATGTAATTATATATTGGTTTGGGCTTGCTATACTAAAATCCTATCCTTCCAGCCGATTCATTTTTGGGTCTATTTTCATGATTGTAATGATGATAGTTTCCATACAAATTTCAATATGTTAACTTACTTATCAATAATTTTTTTCTTCTCTATTAATTATGTCCAATTTTTAAATATTTACTGATAATGTACATAATTATAATACAAAAATATAATAGTTGTGTCTGATAATGTGTATTAAAAAAATAATAGCAATATTTTAATGAGTATAGCGAAATTAATCTAAAAAATAATGTATAAAAGGCGAAGAATTTTAATCTATAAATAATTCTCTTTTCATCATGCTTATGAGAATTTTGTTTTGCGTCGTTTCATTGGTCGCTGTAACTGGTAAGAGAAATAATGTTACTATGTTTATATTAGGTTTTTTATTATTCTACCTTCAAGATTATATAATTATATTATGTGACAAAAAAAGCGCATCACTCATTGAAAGTGTATCAGCTCTTTTAACTTGAAAGCGCTTTTTAAAACTGGACACTTTTAAAAAATTGTATTCTAAGCAAATAACAATTATTCGTTACTTTATTTGTATGTTTTTTATTAAATTAAATTTCACTTATAGCCCAAGCATATGTACAGAATTTGGTTGACAAATATTCATACTTCTATGGGGTTATTCCTTTTTTTTTTATCGCACAGTATATTTAGTTGCAAACGTTTCAATTTATTTATAAATTCACTCGGAATTAAATAAGTAGGTATTGCAAAAAATGGAAAATTTTCATTAAATTTTGTTTTTGTTTTCTTGAAACACTACATAGTGTAGACCCCTTAGAACAAAACATTGATGTGCGAGTTGATGTGATTTTTTCCACTTTTGTGTATTATTATTTGTTCTTAAGTACTTTTAATATAATTTTTTCGATGTGCGAAGTTGTCCTCAGGTGTAGCGGAATTTTACTACATAAACTATCTATTTCTTTCTTTTGATTACACATTCAAATGATGGGAGACGTTTGGTCATGGCGTCATCTAAGATTTGGATACGGCACTAAACCACATTTAGCTGTATTATCACTATAGGCCGACCAAAAATCAGTTCGTTGGGGTACTACCAAATAGGAAAAACAAGTTTCTCAATTTTGGTGTGAGAATGTCATTATTCTCGCATGCAAAATCGTTGACGAATGAAGCTCATTCTTCAATGATTTTTAGTGACATTTAGTTTTTAAAGTATACTTACCTATTGGTACCTTCAAAATTGTCAAACCTTCTAAAATTATCAATGAACTAAACAAACACACTGGAAAGGCAGCTGCATAATTGTTTCTACGCGAGGGTTTGTGCCAGGAAGAACAACAAACAAGAGGGATTTGCATCTCTCTCTGCACTATGGCCAGTAGCGGCTCGTGACTATTTCAAGTGAGGAGGCTAAAAGATTTTAAAGATTTTCAGTGATTTTGAGTAGATCTTACGAGTTTTTCTGGGATTTTGACCAACTTGTATACAAATTTACCAACTAATTTAGGGGAGCCTTAACGATAAATATTCCATGGGAATTCTGCGAAAATTTTTGTTAATTCCATAGAAATTCCTCAGAATTTCACTAGAAGATTTTATGGAAATCCTCGAAATTCCATTTAAATGACAAATTTGAATAGAAAAACAGAAAGTCCTAGAAATTTTATCATAAGATTTCATAATACTTTTCCGAATTCCACCATAAAATTCAATGAAATTCTTGTACAAAAATTCCTCGGAATTACAGTAGAAGATTTCATGGAAATTTCGACAGAAATTACTCAGAATTTCACTAAAATTTAATTCAAGTTTTCGGAATTCCGCCGAAATTTTTCGTGGTCCCATGGAAATTCCACGAAAATTCTGTTTAATTCCGAGGGAATTTTTCGGTTTTGATATAATTTCACTGGAATTCCACAATAAGATTTCAAGGAATTCCATGTAGGTGTAATTCGACAAGAATTCCTTGGAATTTGTCCAACATCGAACACAATCTTCCAAATTCCCTATAAATTCCCCAAGTTTTTAG